AATATAATGTTGCTCTGAGCTCCATTATAAATTAGAAACATTTGAAGTGAAGATATGGGCAGGGGAGGGTGCAAAAGACAATACATACACAATCAGATTATAATACACAAACACATAGACATATTTAGATATATAAGCACACAAAAAAGCGACAAGACAGGAAATAGGTGTCCACAACCCTTAAATAAAACAACAACAACATATACATACAATGAAAGTCACATATAAGCGATTATACACACATACATTGATAAAGACACGCACATATACCACCAAGAAATATTCAAATTTGTAAATGTTAATAAACAAATTCTATCATACTATTAAAATATAACTTATACGGGCAAAGATATATAGATTAAAATGGTTGAATAGATAAAGTTTAATATGGGTAGAATAGAAAAACAAATATTCGTCAATGAACAACATAAGGAAAAAGGGCACTAAAATATATAGAAATGGATAGAAAAAATAAATATATACGTGTTGTGGATTCCGAGATGAAATCCAGTCTCCAATGAATGACAGACGCAGGAATGAAATATAACAAATAAATGTATTGACGTAATAATACAATTGGTAATACGGTTAGTAGATCCAGAAATGCGGTTAGTAGCAATAATAATATATATACAGTCTGGGAAATTCAGTATCGAAGTATGACTTCCTTCTGAGTCTACGTGCTCGCAAATGTGACTCCTACAAAGCGGTTACCTCACACTCTCACTGTATCACTTCCGACTTCCGGGTATTCACCGGCAGCAGTACAAATATACGCTGGTCGAGTCCACTTGTATGAAAAAGGGGTGGACCCCATAACAATACGCATAAAAATAACACTATCTAATATATAAAAAGAAAACTCCTAAAGACATAAATATATATATATATATATATATATATATATATATATATATATATATATATATATATATATACGTATTAGTACATACACACGAGTACAAATATATAACAATATGTGAAAGAAAATAAAAATTACATACAGACTCGAACGCTCCCATCGCTATAGAAAAGTTTGGGTTGTCTTTTTTGGTCCACATAGAACCATTTTGGTATTGGATGGGTTTCTCGGCTTCCTTAACGATGTTGATTTCCTGGTTGGTAATGGTGCAGTAATTCTTGGATACGTTTATAGCTGCCATAAATAGGTTTTCTGTGATCGACGGGTAAAAAATTAAGATGTCGATCTGCATGAAGTTTTTCCTTTTTCCTTTTTATTTTAAAGAACCAGTTGATAGCACACACAGACACACACACACACACACACACACACACACACACATATATATATATATATATGTATATATATATTTCAGACGTTTTATGGAAATTATTCGAGGTTTTATTTTTTATTTTCTATTTATGTTTTTATGTTTTGCTTTCGTCTGATTGCTTTATTTTTTTTTTTTGTTTTGTTGTTATTATATATATATATATATATATATATATATATATATATATATATATATATTCGAAGAATGCAGATTGAAATCCATCTGCCCAGGCAAGCATGAATATAGAACAGACTTCCAGAAACGTCGACCAAAATCATATTTCCATTGATTTCACAAAATGATCAAGTGCATTGCCATCGAAAATGTCTTCAGCTTAATCGACCAGAACACTCTCACCGCACTATTTTAACGACCTTCTTTGAAAATCAGGATTCAAATTTGATTTTCCAGCAACGAATACTGACCTCCCGCCCACAAGAAATCTCTGAATTTGCTAATCCGCTTTTTATATGCGAATAAATCTGAACTTAACGTGCCACTAGGAGATTAGTATTTAACGCCAGTAGACCTATATTAGTTATACTCTGACATTTGGTGATTGTCCTGGGTAAGACGTTAAACTACATCCGCGTCCTGGGTAAGACGATAAACAGCGTCCAGCAGTGGGGCCTCTGATCGGCAGGTTCTGGGGAGCGTGGAGCCAACTCTTAATTGCTGGTGTTCCCGGGTCCGGCCTGACCCGGAGTGGTGGAATCTGTTGGGGTCCGGCTATGGGCAAATAGTTGACTTTTACCAGCAATACTTTTTTGAAAAAAATTATTACCAACAATACAGTTTTGAAGAAAAAGTGTTACCAGGGGCGGATTTTTGACAAAACAGGGTATTACCAGCAATAAAAATGTTGTCGGCATTGGGTAGCTCATTGAGGTTGATATGCTGTTAAACAAAATATACCAAACCAATCTAGACGAAAGAATACCTATTCTATTCATACGAATCTATCCTAAAAATGTTGTCGGCATTAAATAACCCATTGAGGTTGATATGTTGTTAAACAAAATAAACCAAACCAATCTAAAGCAAAGAATACATATTCTATTCATACGAATCTATCCTAAAAATGTTGTCGGCATTAAATAACCCATTGACGTTGATATGCCGTAAAACAAAATAAACAAAACCAAACATTTGGTGAGTCAATGTGAACACCGGTTAGATTTCTCATGGTGAGGCGGCATAATCTATCGGAGATTGAATGATGGATGACAGTGCCAGACATTCCATTCATGAAATTATGGAGATATGTGACATCCCTCGACCTACGCTATCACAAGAATATCGCACAGCGTGAGGAAAAGAAAATAATATGTTAAATTTGAACCTTGTCCTGGGTATAACGATAAACTACACCCGGCAGCAAGACCTCTGAACGGGAGATTAGAGGTTTTGAGGAACGTGGAACCACATCTTGCTGTTATTCCTAGATCCACCTAAACCAGGGGTGGTAATACTTGTTAGGGTCCCAGCTATGTGAATACCTCCTTCCCCCACCACCAAAAAAAAAAAAAACACTATAATGTATAAAAATAAATTTTGAGCAGTTATGAATGTACGAGATTCATGGAAGATTGAAGTTTATAAGCAGTAAATTCGACCTTGCCAACCAAACGATCCTTTGTGGCCAAGAGGTTAGGCACGTCAAGCTAAATGACTGTTCCGTATAGTATGTAGGTTCGAATCCTGTCAAAGGACGAATATTTCTCGGACATTCAGGCCAGTAAATGTTATTTAATACTGTTTATTATAAACAGAGCATTTACTTAAATACTTGTATCTATAAAAAGAATGTTAAACATAAAAATGTCTTTAATATATTTTATCTGTAGTTGAAGCCCTAAAATTGTGTTCCAAATATTTAGATTTTTTTAAATAACCCATAGAGATGTTGATATGCCGCTAAACAAAATTAACCAATTTCAGAGATGAATTGATGGGACATCATAAAAATCCCTAGAATTACATGACTTGTGCTCTGACGCCTGCAGAATCAGTGCAGTTATTAGTGGAGTCGATTAAAGCAGGCCGATGTGAATTATGTGAGATCGAATAGTTGCTATCAGACGAATTAGAGATCCTATTTCTGAAATTAGGAGGAAATTTGTCATACCACGATCTACCATATCAGATATGGTACTGTGAAGGCCTTATAGAATGCATGTCGAGACAGTGCATATCAGACGCATATCAAAGAGGTCCTTTAACTTCCATTATCTATGGAAGCAGAAGATCCACCTAGTTGCTCCTGTTTATATCACAACACTGAACACAGCAAATCGTGACAACTCGTGACATCGCTAACAGGACCTCGGAAGGACTGGTAAAGGACAATAAAAAAAGGTTGACGATTGGCTGCATTTAAAATTTTTGAATATCATAGTTGACAGGATGGCAAAAAACTGGAAGAGAGTTTCACAGGCGAGAAGTTCGAGAGATGAAAACATTAGCAATAAACTTACGCTAGCACTTAGCAATTTCAACAGCGAAATGATGAGACCTAACTGTCAATCTAGCACTACGTTTAAATTCATGAAGTTGAGGTACAAAATGGGAAAACTCATCAGAACAATTACCATGAACGTATTTATAGAAAAGACAAAGGGAAGATATGTTACGGCGGTGAGGGAGTGACTGAAGCCGAGATGCTAGATCAGGACCTATAACATTGCAGATTTTCTTTTGATTCTGTCACAAGTCACTACATACATATCAAGAGCACCGGACCAAAAGTGGCAACAATATTCGATGCACAGACGAAAGTCGGGTTTCCAAAGGTGTAAAATGGTGAGAAAAATTGTTGCACGATTTCTTCGCCTTATATCATGTCAAGTTTTCTTTTCACTTCAGAAATGAAAATGGAAATTTGTTATTTCTTTCCTTAATTTAGTTTCTGTTTTGCAATTGCGATGCCAAATAATAGAACTGCTGTCACCTTTGACTCAATTGTTTTAGAATCAATTTTCACGCCTGGGTAATCGAAAGAGCGAGGAGAAATATATCAAATGAACTTTTGAAAGGTCAAAACCTTCTTTTATAACAAGACTTATTAGACTTCTGAAAATCTGTTTTCATTTTTATTTTTAAAGGAAAAAACACATTAGAAAGAAAATGGGTTTTATATTAACTATTTTATTTATCTAAATAAATATAAAAAAATCATTTCTTAATTTTCAAGAAATAAAATTACAAATAATGATTGCATAAAGAATCAGGGGGTGGTTAAAAGTGTTCGGCTTGACCAAGAAACGACTCAAAAAAAAATTCTGATGACAAATCAGATTTGGGAAAGTGGCTCATGCGAAGATTTATATAGCCACAACCACGTATATACTGATAAGAAAGTACAGAGGGGTCTATGGGGAAATCACGTGAGTGGTGGTTGTTAATAATAATAATAATAATAAAATAATAAGAAGAAGAAGAAGAAGAAGAAGAAGAAGAAGAAGAAGAACTGAGCCATTATACCTTGGCGTATCAGACATTGTTAAGTTTCTCTGAAACGAAAACGACTGAAAAAAATGTCCAGGTATGTTCTAAAGGAAAAAAGCAAGAAAGTTAAGGAATGAATCTTGAAAAAGTCATCGTTTAACAAGACAATTTGGATCTGTAAAAGAAAATACTTGATGTGGAATCACCCGCACCAAAAAAAGTTATGTCCAAACTACGGATTATATGCGTTAACATAAATTAAATGAACAAATTAAGATAGATAGATATGAACAGACTGAGATAGATAGATAGATAGATAGATAGATAGATAGATAGATATGAAAAACTGAGATAGGTATGAGCAGATAGATAGATAGATAGATAGATAGATAGATAGATAGATATTAATAGACTTGAGATAGATAGATAGATAGATATGAAAAACTGATATAGGTATGAGCAGATAGATAGATAGATAGATATTAACAGACTTGAGATAGATAGATAGATAGATAGATAGATAGATAGATAGATAGATAGATAGATAGATAGATATGAAAAACTGAGATAGGTATGAGCAGATAGATAGATAGATAGATAGATAGATAGATAGATAGATAGATAGATATTAACAGACTTGAGATAGACTTTCGTATCGAGTTTACTGATCAGGCATAGAACCATACAAGTGTCAAACTTGAACATCATATGATGAGCGTCATAAAAACACGTACGATTTGGAATTGTTATTAACAACCATTGATAAATGCAGCATTGGCAAACAAACGGTTGTCGCTAAATTTGAATAATTTCGAAATAACAAATGCTTAAATAATTTGTAGCAAAAATTCTTACCTATAGGCTAAATAGTAGGGTAGTCTGAACTCACAAGCCTCGTGTGGCTGCCGGTCTAGGAGAAGAAAAACTTTTGTAGCTCTTATAATTTATCATCCTTTTCTTCCCGGTACTACTATCTATTCAAAAAAATCCATTAAATCGGTTACTCAATATTTTCTCCTGTAGGCTCCTCTGGATTTCCATATATTCTATGCGTATTAGTTTTGTATTTTAACGACGAAAGTAGACTCGGCCAAACGAGTTCAAATTTCGGCCTCGTCTACTTTGCTACTTTTGTTTAAATAAACTTGAAATAGACATGAATTCATTATTTCTTCCCCACTCCAGTTATGAGTTAAATATCAGGTTTGACGCGATTCTCTAGCCTTGGTTGGGAGCCAGTTTAGGGATAGACTATTCTGAATTCAAAACCGAGGGTAAGGTAACGGAAAATCATTTCGATATCTTTCTGAAAAATTAATGTCAATTCCAAGAGAGATAAATAATACGTGGTGGACCAGGATTGTGACAGCCCAAAAGAGACAGCTCAAAAGAAGCAGACAAACATAAACAGGCCAAAAGAGACAACCCAAAAGAGACAGCCCAAAAGAGACAGCCCAAAAGAGACAGCCCAGAAGAAACAGACCCAAAGAAACAAGCCAAAAGAAGCAGGCCAAAAGGGACAGCCCAAAAGAAACAGACCAAAAGAGACAAGCCAAAAGAGACAGCCCAAAAGAAACACCCAAAAAAACAGGCCAAAAGAGACAGCCAAAAGAGACAGCCCAAAAGAAACAGACCAAAAGAGACAAGCCAAAAGAGAAGAGCCAAAAGAGATATGCCAAATGAGACGGCCCAAAAGAAACAGACAAATAGAAACAGGCCAAAAGAGACAGCCCAAAATAGACAGCCCAAAAGAAACAGCCCAAAAGAAACAGACCAAAAGAGACAAGCCAAAACAGAAGAGCCAAAAGAGATAGGCCAAATGAGACGGCCCAAAAGCGACAGGCTAAAAGAGACAGGCCAAAATAGACAAGACAAAAGAGACAGCCCAAAAAAGACATGCCAACATAGACAGCCCAAGCGAGAAAGGCCTAAAGGAAATTTAATCGGAAAAAAGAAAGAACATTAAATATACCATCCAAAACAACCATCCAAAGACAAAAGTCCAGTATAAAGCTTATTCGCGTCATAGATCCAAAACTGCAACATATTTTTCAATAAATCTTTCATTTGATATTGGACGCTCCCTTCCTCTTCAATGAAATACGCAAGACGAAAAGTCATGTGAAAAATTGCTGAATGATAGAGAAATATATTTTCCGAGTGATTTTTCACAATCTAAATTGAAATAGGTACGACGCCATTAAAATACATGTATCTCTGAACAATGTACGCGCCATTGCGTCAGTGCCACAAGTTCATCAGGTACATGCGGTCTGTCCGGGAATTATCCAGCTAGTTACTTTTAACAAAAAATGTCCTCCGTAACGAAATAGAAACTTAGTGTCTTTCAAAACACCCCACTTTAGACTGCACAAATCATCCCAGCGTCCCTTCTACATTTATATCTTTTTTGATGGGCGTGGGTGATCGCCATTAGTTTCATTGTTGTGTTCTCCTTACTCACGTTTATGGCATTTCCACAATGATTTTAGAAAAAAATAAACATGTAGATCACTCCAAGGGGGTCACTCTCACTCCAGAGGGGGTGAATCTCACTCCAGGGGGTTCACTCTCACACCAGTGGGGGGTCACTCTCACTACAGGGGGTCACTCTCACTTCGGGGGGTCACTCTCACTACAGGGGGCTCTCTCCTCCGGGGTCTAAAACTGACTGTATGGAAAAAGGAAGGAAAGCAAAGCGGTTGTTTCAATTAATTTGAAGAAGGGTGTACATATGTACATACACACAAATATTTTATGTATGCATACTGTATATACACCGTGTGTATTAACTCTCATAGACGCTCATACTCACACTGACTCACTAGAAAAAAATCACTATTAATAACCCATTCTCGAACTCTCCCCTTAAAAATCAAATTACCCCACTGTTGGGTGTGCGCTTCACATTCGGAATTACGGTTGTAGATAGACGAGGAGGTAGAACTGATAGATCACACTGAGGTAGAACTGATAGATCACACTGAGGTAGAACTGATAGATCACACTGAGGTAGAACTGATAGATCACACTGAGGTAGAACTGATAGATCACACTGAGGTAGAACTGATAGATCACACTGAACAAACCCAGAGGAAAGTGTCTGGTCCTATATATGTTACAAACCTCCCCTCGCCATGAATTTGGCAACAATTTCAAAACATTTAACTTCCCCAATATATTTAAAAATCTAGAACCGTAGAAGAAAAATTGAAATCGTTTAGTCGCTATAATAGATTCGATGTGAGAATATTTTATTTTCATTTTAGCGGGTAATATTCATTTTGCAATTTTGCCATGCTGTGATTGTATCCTTTTTTACATTTGCTTTTTTTGACAATAACATCTTTTTACATGTTCGGTATTTGATCACCGTTATGAAATCAGTTTTATTTTATCTCCACATGTTTTTAGAGTCAATTACAAATTAAATGAAATGGCGTATAGCGAGCTGTTGAAAAGCATAGCGAGATAATAAAATAAAACAGCTAAAAGGTAATGTGTATATATAATGAATGGAGAATGTCAGCTATCAAGATATACGTGCAAAACAGGGAAGCCAGTAAAATCACTTGAAAACAGAGTTGGAGGAGTAAAGAGAAAATCATTTTAAGAAAAATGCTTCTTATATATATATGTGTGTGTGTGTTATATATATATATATGTGTGTGCCTAATTCTTATATATATATATATGTGTATATATATATATATATATATATATATATATATATATATATATATATATATATATATATATATATATATATATATATATATATATATATATATATATATATATATATATATATATATATATATATATATATATATATATATATATATATATATATATATATATATATATATATATATATATATATATATATATATATATATATATATATATATATATATATATATATATATGTATGTGTGTCTATGTATATAAATAGAGAGGAGGCACGGTGGAGTAATGGATAGCGGCTTGGAGTGAGGAATCGGAGTTCCGGGTTCGAATTTCAGTTGAATCCATAACATTCACTTACGTCTTGATACCCTCTTCTCCCTCCAGACTGGGTTCTATAGCCTTGGATGGTAACTGGTCTAGGAGAAGGACAACTCTGAATTCAAACCCGGAGTGTAGCATTCAGGCAACTCCTGCAGCCGTGCTGGTACCAAACTAGCAAGGCTAAGAGGGCAAACTAGACGTCCGGGCAGCCCTAGTTCTCCATATATCCCGCCCAGGATCGTAACGCACCGCGCTACTCCATCGACACTCGAGACGGACGGATGCCGACGACGGATATAAATAGACAAATATCACACACACACACACATATATATATAGATAGATATAAATATATATATTGATAATATTAGTGGTTAATATATATATATATATATATATATAAATTCCCAAGAGGATAGAATCCAGGTAAAACATATTGTTTTTTATTGTGCGTAATGTCACCATAAATCTATCCGCACGTTTCCGGTGTCTGTTTTTTTATCTGTATCTCACTCATTTAAACCGTTATTTAACTCCTCTCTTTAAAACTTCTCTCTGTTAAATTTTAATCCCCACCTTCATCTTTAGGCCTTTCCTCTTCTTTTTTCTTCTGTTACACCCTCTCTCTACAGCTTTCATACATTTCCCTCTCACACTTGTTTCCCACTCCCACACATACACTCTCACTAAAATTTTGTTTTTTTATAGCCGGAGTTATATTTTCCGATTTCTTTTTGAACTTGTAGGTCTGGTAAATTGGATTGTGATTACAATTCCAATGTAATAAATTATAAGCATGGAACATTAGTGTTTGAGCCTTTTATATATATATATATATATATATATATATATATATATATATATATATATATATATATATATATATATATATATATATATATGATTTGTCTGTCTGCAAAAACAAAATAAAAAAAATCCCATAGCTAAGTAAAATTCTTAAAAGCAAAGCCAAATCATTAAATAGGAAAAACCCTTTTTGTAGTCGTCAAAAAACAAAAAAAAAACAAATTGAAATTCAGTGCAATGCGATCTGTATATAAAACACCCACTTGAAAAAACAAATAAATAAATACATAATGAGATGGACAATAATAAAAGACAATTCCCCAGACACATAACGATTGTAGGCGCGGCATAAAAATATCCCTCACTGGGAACTAACTAAAGGGTGACCGCAAACATTAGCCTTGAAATAGATACCTTACTCAACCTTACCAAAACCTCTTAGAAGATGATGAATCTATTGATAAGAATTAACTCTCTGACCACTTAACGAAGGAAAATAGTCTAGCCACTCCCACAATAACGAATTCTGTAACGGACCGTGCCTAAAAATACACGTAAACCGAGAGATAGCTTATTCCTAAAATTTCGCTTGAAGATGAAACGGGACTAAACGCCACAATCCAACTTAATTTTAATAATTATTTGGATGATTTCGGCTCTCGTTTTTGAAACATGAGAACTCTTATGTAGCGAAGGAATCATATTTTTAAACAAAAAATATTATTATAATATAAGCTCTACTTCTGTATGGAGCACTGTCTTCTTAAAAATAAAAAACAAAAAATACTAAGGAACCCCGGATTATGCACCCAACGTGTTCTTTTTCTATTTTCTGCATACCTACGCACTATATATATATATATATATATATATATATATATATATATATATATATATATATATATATATATAAAAGAGATAGAGAGAGAGAAATATCAACGAGCTGACAGAAACGAACAGGCAACACTAAACACGACATATTGGCAAACCAAGAAATTACAATGGGACCTTCCTTCCTTCTTTTTAAATACGAATTTTTATTCTTTTTTCATAATGTTTGTCGAACAGACCAGCAGTTGTATTACTAATAAGGCTACAGGCATTGTATTGCATCTTTTGATGGACTAAATAAGAAAAATGGACGTGGGCTGGATTTATGCTGAGAACAGAGAATAAATGGGTGGATGGAAATGTTGTTTTCACTGTGCACACTGAATAACAAACTATATAACAGAAGACAAGACGGAGAAGATGAGGTAGATGATTTTCCTGGTAAACCACAGTAGAAAATAGCACACTATCATGGTTGCCATGTGAGGATGGGAAAATGTGCTCTTCATCCGGCAGGGAATTCACAATAACTGCTGCTGCAAGCGTTGATTTATAAAGAAACAGAAATAATCTCTAGAAACCTGGCACAAAATTCACTCGCCCGTACGCGTACCTATCTACCCCTTGGGTGTATGAAAAGAAAAGAAGCCAGTCCCCACTGTGGACCATTTAAAAGATAGTTCGCGCAGCGGATTGCTTGTTAAAAATATCCAATCGGGTGTGCGAAAACGTGATCTTTCTTCGTCTAATTCATTAAAAAGCCAGGGTAGCTGTTAGCGTTTGATTGAGAGGGAGAATCAGGGATTGATCTCCCCTGATTGGGTCGAGTTAGTGATGCGGTGTATGATGTTGAAAGACCCGAAATTCCATGATGAACCAAGTCAAATAACATCACTGACGACCCCCCTCGGGCGCCTATTTAAGAGCGTATTTTTTAACTTGAATTACACACACACACACACACACACACACACACACACACACACACACACATACATATATATATATATATATATATATATATATATATATATATATATATTTCTGAGATGTGTATTATGTGCACTATATACATTATTCGGACTCATCTTTGTTGCCATATTTATCACAACGTTTGTACGCTCCGGCCTTCTTAAGGTGGTTGGAATGTCGAACTGAACCCTTTATTTCGCTCACTGGGGTAGACTGTTCTAGTTCCACGTGCCATGTTTAATGGGTGTCAGTTATCAGTTATCTCCTGTTAATTTCCTTCTCCAAGAACTCCACCGTCTTAACCAGGTATTGAACTCGCACTCTTTGAGTCCTGCCTGTCTTTGGGTTAAGGCGGTGGCCTTGTGGTTAGAAATGGTCACTTGGCCAAGTATTCAGAAGTGGACGCGTGGCCAAGTTGTTAAACCTGGACGCGTAGGCGAATGGTTAGAGGTGGACACGTGGTCGAGTTGTCAGAAGTGGAGATGTGGATAGAAGTTGCTGACTTGTTAGAATGTGGTCGCGTGACCGAGTGGTTAGATGAGGACGCATAACCTAATGGTTAGAAGTGGGAGCCTGACCGAGATGATGCATGGCCGATTGGTTAGAAGTGAAATGAACTGTACCCAATCGCAAGATAATCTTACTTGCCTTGAAAAGGAATTATTAAAAAATTAGACCAAATTTCTATTCAAACTGACACGTTGATATTTGGACATTAACGCTAGCAAGTTTGCTGAATTTCTTTCTCTAAAATGGTTTGGCTAAATATCCGTGAATTGGTTGCAAAATTAACGAAAGCAACTAAGAATGAAATCTCATATTAAGACGTTTGCAATTTTTAGAAACTCAGCTAGGATTCTGTAAAACAAAAATCAATAACATAGGCAAAATGATTACTAATTATCGAAATGAAACTAATTTCAATTTAGTTTTTATATTTCTTATTTTCTTTTACATTAGATTTTTTTCTTTTTATAATGTACGACTTTCACGGCGTAATTCACTAAGAATGGGATAAACTAAAAGATGCCCGGTTATACATTATTCGTAGGACACTCGTAGAATTCTGGGAAAATGTGATTCACATTTTGCAAAACAACGTTTTCGACGTCGAACTTCATGTGATTAGCGAAGGCTTTCGTGGCACACGGTCGCTTGGAGGGTGTAGTTGTTATATCGAAGGAAGATATCAAATAAAAGTTTTCCAGATTGTCATGTATATTTACCATTCCACATGAATGTCTCCCAAAACTCGCCCTCTATTTCTCTCTTTTCATCTCTATCTATATCTTTCTCTCTTTTTTACTCTATCTTTCTATATCTCTCTTTTTTACTCTGTCTTTCTGTATCTCTCTCTTTTTCTGTTTCTCTCTTTCTTTCTCTCCTTTTCTCTTTCTGTCTCTCTTTTCATATCTTTTGCTCTTTATCACTCTCTTTCTATTTCTCTTTCTATATTTTTCTCTTTCTTTTTCTCTCGCTTTATCTCTTTCTCTCCTTTAATCTATATCTTTCTATCTATCTCTGTAAATTTCTCTACATCTGTCTTTCTGTCTATCTTTCTATATATCTCTTTTTTAAATCTCTCTCTCTCCCTTTCTATCATTCTCTCTATCTCTCTCTTACTATATCTCTTCTTTTCTATATCTCTCTTTACATCTCTCTCTTTATCTCACCCTTTCTATCTTTCTCGCTCTATCATTCTCTTTCGACCTCTCTCTTTTTCTATCTCTCTCTCTCTCTCTCTCTCTCTCTCTTTCTGTTTTTATCTCTATCTTTATGTCTCTCTCTTCGTCCTGGGTTACAAAGCCTCTGATTGGTAGATTGAAGTTTTTCAGGAGCATAGAACCACTGCTTAACTGTTGTTGTTCCCTTGCCCATCCTCACCCGGGGTAGTAGCACCTGTTAGGGTCCCGGCTAAGGGCAAATAGTGAACCCCAAAACCAAAATCAGCAGTGAATTTCTATAATAAAGTGACCAACAATACATTTTTATAGCAAATGACAATCAGTGCCACACTAAAAAATTATAAAAATACATTTTTATATTAAAATTATCAACAATAAATTATTAGCAACAACTAAATATATATCTAAAAAAAGAAAAACCTTTACACTGAAAGTAAAAAATTATGTCTGTATCTGAAAATATCTCTAATTGGAAGCATAAAATGAACTTTGTGTTATTTACATTACTTGGTCCGTTGCCCTCCTCTTTATAGCCTCATAGCCATATTGACAATGTTTCAGCCGTTGTACGCTCCGGCCTTCTTCATGTGATTAGAATTTCAAACCGAACCCTTTATTTCGTCCACCGGGGTAGATTATTCTAGTTCCGCGTGCCATGCCTCTTCAGGATGTCTCGGTTATTTTCCCTTTAACTTTAAGGCCGCTGATTGGGAGATTGGAGCTTTTGAGGAGCGGGAAAACACCGTTTATCTGCAGTTGTTCCCTGGTTTAACCTGATACGGGTTGGTAGCACCTAAGAACAAATAGTAACTACCCCCCCGCCAAAAAAATCAACAGTACATTTCTATAATAAAATACATTTTTATAGCAAATGACAATCAGTGCAACACTAAAAAAATATAAAAATCCATTTTTATAATAAAATTACCAACAATAAATTGTATGATCTACAAAATATATTAAAAAAAATATATCTTTACCTTGAAAGCATAAAATTACGTTCAAAATAATTAGATTTCGGCATAAAATAACCCACAGAGGTGTTGATATGCTGCTTAACAAATTCAGCCAACTGTCTCTCTCATATATATATATATATATATATATATATATATATATATATATAACTTTATATATCTCTCTTATTCCCCCCATAAAAGTATTGACAAGGAAATAAGGAAGAATTAAATAGTATGAGATAGCGTTTCTTTTTTATCTGTTATGGTTAAACTTTCAGACAACCTTTTATGGAAAGAAAGGTCAACGTTGTTCCATTTAATGTTGGTGGTTTTAAATAGTTGAGGAATAGTTTGAAAATGTTTGTTTTTTAGTTTGTGAATAATTTGAAACCAAACATTGTCTAAAGGTTTCAAATCTGAACTCAAATCTCCAGATGAAAACCTTTCAACTCCAGTCCTCGTATTTTTAGAGATCAACAATTTGTCTAGTGAACCGAATTGTTTTCAATCAACGTCTGCATCAATCACAGCCGCCATTGTTGCGAAAAGAACCAAGCAAAGATAAGCGAATCAAAACAGTGAAATTCCTTGTTTCAAAATATCTTTCGAATGGATTTTCTCAGACGCTGATATCACTAATCCTTTACTGGGGTTTGATTTTTTCTAAACAACTTTGGCTCAACTCTAGACTACAAAAAAATAAAATTATTGAAAACAATAGAAAACATAGATTAATACAAATATAACTCCATGTTTAATAAATTTAATTTTCGAGTGAATTAATAAGAAAATATCTAAGTGATATTTCATTGAACAAATAGAAGATAATGTGGAGTTTATCAGATGATAGATATAGGAAGCCACGCTAAATCTAAAGCAACACGAACAGAATCCAAACAAGTTTAAAATTACGGAGTGATCTCCCTTGCTAAAAGAAAATATATGGGGAAGTCCCTTCCATCTTGTTTCATAACATGACATTAATTATCTATGTTACGGTAATTACTGTGCTTTGAATAGAATTACAAAAAAACTGATCAACATCCTTCATCAAATATCAATTCATTTGGCTTTACCGACAAATGTTTCTCAAAAATAAATTTCAGCTTTTCAAAGTACATCCTAATGATGCGCTTAAGACAGAAGTAACTTTTTGAACTGCTTGAATATAATCATATACCTTTTGTAATTAAAAAGAAAATGCGGTATCAACATTTCAGCCTTTTATGTATAAAATATTTACTAATGAGAGCTGTTTCTTTGTGTTGATATTCTTGTACACTGACGTGCCAAACGTCATTTATGAGCAGTATGTAAAAGTGGCGCCACCGTATATGACATGTAAATGACCAGATGTATATCAGTTGAACCTTGACATCAGGTGAGTGAGTGTGAACGCCGGCTAGGTTTCTCATGGCAAGTCGATGTGAATTGTTCGAATGCGGCTTGATAGAGGGTATCAAGCGAATGTGGTATTCCGTTCCAGAAATCTTGGGCGTATTTGATATCTTTTGATCTACGGTTTCACGTGTGTAGCGGGAATACCTGATGAAATGTCTTGCCGCTAATGAATAGACCTTTTTTTTATTCATTCGGCTAACATTGTCTGATAGAGGTCTAATCTAACTCGTTTCGAAAGGAGAAAAGTTAGCAAATTTACCAACACTGATGTTAAGTGATCTGCAAAGAAAATAAAAACATATCAGAATATAAAACATAAACACCGAATGGTTCCCTTAAAGTGATCATCTCAAAATACAGAAATACTTTCTGACCTTATACTCACCTTTCAAAAGTTAGTTATTTTTATTAACTTAGAAAGAAAGATTTTTCGTGTTTATTATTCGTTTTAGTTTTGACTGATTTATGTAACCAAGATAATATTCCCAACATAATATTATTGATATCTTAAACCAACCTATCTGGCAATTTGATCCCTAGGGTGTAACATTATTCAACATCGGATGCAAAAGAACTCTGGAGAGAAAATTTTCAGATCGAAACTACTTAAATCATCATGTTCAGACACGTCATTATTCATTTCTAGCGACAAAATGAATATTTCTTGCCGCTCCTCTTTCTGAAGAGACATTTTTAAATTCATACAACACACAATGTCTGGCCTAGGTCGTACCAAATCTCATTTTAAAAGGCTAACATCGATACAAAATATATCCACTCTGATATTAGATAATCTACAAAGAAGGAAAATCTCAATAAAACTTAAAAATGAATGATTATTTTATTGTACTTATTGAAAAAGAAACCTGAAATTAATCATGTCAAAAATGCGACATTGTTTCCAATTTTATTTCTTTGTTTGTGGGTTGCAAGCAGTCGTGTGATTGTAGATAGAAATAAAAAAAACCTTAAAATCCTTTAAACATCCCAGATAGATTCCTTAGTTTCGACTACTTCTTATTATATTTGTTTATTTATATATTCCGTCTATATTTTCTACAAGTGTATTCTTAGAGTCATCGGACATCTTGAAATGTTAATGATGATTTCATTCCAAAAAGTGAACGTTAATAATGCCAACAAAGCAAAGCATTGGTCAGATCCTCGCCAAATCATCTATACGTATGACCCCTGGCTTCCTGAATATGAAATTAATATAGAACGATAAAAAACAGTAAAAATGTTTTGAATTTACAGAAATACGCACAAATATATTCCAGCGTGAATGCAAAGCAGTACAGAGTGCCGTTTTCAAAGTTCAGTATCAAGGACAGAGCCTGTGTGTATATAAGAGTTGACACTGGGGTCACAACGAATCGCAACAGTCTGTTTCAGGCTTGAACGCAGCCTCCCTACCATGTGTTGTATGAAAGCTTAACTGTTTATAATGATTTTCCAAGCGTAGCTTAGATGTAGCACAAGGCCGAAAGTAAGGGGCACCCAGTGAGAATCGAACTCACTACTAAGTCGTAAGTTGTTCTAGCGAGACAAGCTTCCGAACCATTACAATGCCTCGAGGTCCCCAAGCTCGACTGTTTATATATGTTGGTCAATGGTTTATTGTGTTATGCTAATGAGATGAAGATGGCGTTCAAACATGAATCAGACTGTCGCCACTCGATTTTGACTGTTGTCCGTCGTGCTGATAGTTTATTCAAATGTAGCTGAGGAAGATAAGGGACAAAAGTTGAGTTTCAATCAACAGACAAAATGGCGCAGAAGGTTGAAGTTGAACAAGATGAGAAAGAAGATCTTCGGGATTTATTGTTGATAACGAAACTCCTCTCTCTGTAAACTACAAGGAATTATCAGAATCGAAAAATTAGAGGAAATGAGACACACCTCTACAGCCAGTTTGGACAAGATAGAGTTCTTCTTTATATTATTTACAGTAGGATTCATTCAATCGGAGAACATTGTTCTTATCCAACAGGAATAGAAAGGTTCAAAATCCTTCCACGTTTTCTGAACTATAATAGAGGTTTATCTCTTGTTTCCTGTTTAAGATTGGGTGTCCGGTTCCTTCTGTTAATTTTTTCTTATTCTACTTCACTCCCTGCTGGAAACTCTTCCAGCAATATCTGTTAAGCACAGCCAAGCCTATTATGAGAACCGACTGCCTTGTTGATCTCGTAACTACATAATGGGAAAGAGATCCAGGTGCCAACCGAATGGACGAGGCTGGCTATAGATGTAACGCACCACAGGGGAAACTTCTACTTGACGATGGTTGGCTGTAGTTCTGGACGGATTGCGATTTGGAATGAAGATCCGCACAAAGGGTGCTGCCGAAATGATTATTTTGGCGACGATTGGGGATACTGGAAAAGTTAATAACCGAATTTGGAAAACATGGAATTCTGGGTAGAAAGGTGGCTATATGAGCCAATGAGAAATCAGTTGGTAAAAAGGTTTGATCAAGTAGCAAGAAATTTGACGGACGAATAAGCAAACAAAGCACAGTGAAAGGGGATGATCGTCTTGCCTAGGGTTGAAAAAATGTAAAAAAATTTCTACAACGTCATAACAAAAATTTATTTAGAACCAGTAATAAGAAGTGCCAAAGAAAAGCGATAATAACAACGAAAATTCCAATATAAGCTCTGGTAAAAACATGGTTGATAACAGCAAAAAAATTGCAATATGAGCACTGGTAATAAAAGGTGGCTGAAGACATTAGGTTTATAATACCCAGAAATTCACACACAGATGTCCTCAAGTACACATGACACAGTGATGGCATTAGTTAGATCCAGTGACAGGAACCAAAGAGTGTGAGTTCAATACCCGGTTAAGGTAGTGGAGAACTGGGATAGGGGAATTAACAGGAGATAACAGACATCCAATAGACATGGCACGTGGAACTAGAACAGTCTACCCCAGCGAGCGAAATAAAGGATTCAGTTCATCATTTCAACCACCTGAAGAAGGCCGGAGCGTACAACGGCCAAAATGTTGTGATAAATATGGCGACAAAGATGAGGACATTAGTACGAATAATGTAAATCTGTTTTTATTCTTTCACAGTGTTTTGAGCCCAGTTTGGGGGTTAACTATTTTCCGATAACTGGGACCCTAAAAGAGCTACCATCTCGGGTCAGGGTTGAAAAGGAAACCCAACTGTACATCCTTTAAGAATATGTATTCCATTATTTTTAACAGTTTTTATTTTTAAGTAAGGTTCATCCTTTACAAAACCCGAGAGCCATTCGAGGTAGAGGGTTATGTTTGAAGACAATTTATAGGAGGAGAATATATCGGTCAACCTTAACCTTGAGCAAATTGTAATGATCGCGAAACACCCCCTTGAGAGACGTTTCCACAGAGCAGTGGTTCGTAGGAAGAAGCTGTTCGAGTGGAACTTATTTCTCACTAATGGAATACGGGGGTAATGTGAGTGGTTTGCTACTATGTAAGTGGCATGGCGGGTGCTTACCGTGAGGGTTTGAACTCGTGGGACCAAGCATTGTTGTTCGTCCGAGCGAAGTAGCGATAGAGCAGCTAGAGGCTTGCCATCTTCCGCATGTGGGAGAGAGGTTATAGGGTGGACAATAATTCATCACCCAAAAGGACTCAGACACTTTTGGATTCTATCAAGGCTGGAGAGTGAGGCTTTGGCAACTCCTGCTCAAATATGACAACAGTACTCCATTTTTGGCCTGATCTAGCTCTTGTAAATGTCGAGGATAACAGGAGGAGTCAGGTACTCACTGGATCGGTACAGAGATCCGACTATTTTACCTGGATCCTTAGCAATGGATTCTATGTACGAGTTCCACTTGAGGTCATTTGAGAGTTTGAGGCCCAATAGTCTTTCAAGGCACGGTTCCTCTCCCGGGGAGCATCTGTTCATCGTGACTGGTTACAGCTCGGGATCCAATCGGCGATGATCGAATGTTTCGGCTTACGAGGCATTGACCTGTATATGTTGAAAGTTCCACTTCAACTACGAGTAAAAATAAATTTGAATATCACAAAATGGAGCAGACATTTTATAACCTAAACAAAAAGAAAACACAAAAGAATACAAAACTTCTTTGAACCCAAGCAGTCGGTCGTTTGCCTGCTAAAATTTTACTGGCCTCCCAAGACGAAATAATAATTACTGAAATATATATTTGTTTGTCAGAGGATTTCATTCAATTTGTCTTTTGATGCGAGACATATTTCACATGGTAAGTCAATCAATATTTATTTTCGACGACACCCGGGAGATTTTCATTGCCGGTAAAACGGTTTCGCCGTCGGGAAAATGTCACATGCTGTTCAGACAAAAAGAAGAGAGACAAACTCGATTAGTGAAAATCTATAAAATAATCTCCCAGTAGAACTATTGCTTCTGCAAATCCGAAATTGAAACTCAGTCATTGCTTTACAGTGGGGTATTTATGTCTTCATAGTTTTTCCAACTAATTATAATAATCTACCAAATGCGAGTAGCAGACGACATGCCGCGTCAGGTGTGTTTATTTCCTCCCTCCATAGTTAGAAATCACCTTACACTCCGCTAACCCGAGTTGCTGTAATTACAATTGTTTTTATACATTTGTAATGAGTCAGGAGGCAATATTTAATCAGCTTATTTACGGTTGGCAAATTATTTGAAAACTATAAAGATGTTTTAAATCATTTAAGACCAAGTAAGGCTACTAAGACGCAAGGGGTTACTGAGTGTGAGAGAATTTGAGAAAAAGAAAAACATTATTAAGGGGAGGGGATAAAATAAAAGAACAGGAATGAAGAAGACAGTAGATAACGATTGATATTTCAATTATTGAAGATCAAAGTTGGCTGGAAAGCAAGAATCTGGAAGAGAGTTCCACAAGCGAGAAATGGGAGAGAAGAAACTGTTAGCATCGAACTTATGGTGATATTTATCAATTTCAATTGTAAGATGATGAGACCTTGCCGCCAGTCTAGTACTGCGCTTTGCGCTTAAATTCATAAAGGTCAAGGTACCATAGAGGAACGTTCATCAGAACAATTACCATGAAAGTATTTATAGAAAAGGCACAGGGAATCTACGTTACGGCATTGGGGAAGAGACTTAAGCCGAGTGGCCAGGTCAGGACCAATAATATTTCGATTCTTCTTTGTATTTTATCAAGTATCTCGAAATACATAGCAAACATGCCAAACCAGATGTGGCAGCAATATTCAATGCACTGGCGAATGGTAGACTTATAAAGATGTAAGATAAATTCTGGCGAGAAAATTAGTGAACCACCTTCAAGATAATCTTGCCACTTTATGTCAGCAAAAAACTAGTTCAAAAAAATGAAGGAGACACTAACATGGAGATTAGGATTAGCCGTGCTGATAAAAGTAAAAAGTTTTCTCTCATCACATTTAAAGAAAATACATTTCAAAACTGGCAAAATTTTCACTTTTCTTTCTTACTGTTTTTCCTCATTTTCATCTAAAGAAATATTTATTTTCAAATATATCATTTGGAGTGAGGCCTGACCTGAAAAAACCCTATTATTAAAATCAGGAGCAAGATTGTTCAATTAGTAGTCAGAGAGTATACTCAATCATGCAAATAGATCATCCAATTAGGACTCTTCTTAGAGATGCTGGTTGGCGTGCCAGTTGCCTGCACGAAATCGGAGAACAGAGTTCGTATTTCGGTTGGGGTAGTTCATGTTCGCTTTGAGCTGATGCTGTTGAGGAAGGCCTGAATCCACTTTACTTGTTTTTCACATCGCCAGGTATCTGAGCAAAATATTTTTTCACTGGCGTTTCTCTTTGGTTGATTACGAAAAAAGACGGTGAGTAAGCATTTCAACAAACCACTCTCCTATATCTATCTCAAAAGTCACACCGAAATTTGCGAGTGAAGGTAATAACTATGGCAATGTAGTAGAGAGCCATGATTAATTTTTTCATATGTAAATTAATCTTATGCAAATGTTCTATTTAGGCTATGAATTCATAGCTCCATAATGCAGTTTTTTTTTCTCACTTGTTATAACCTTGTGCTATGCTTCAGCTAAACTAATTTGGTAGCAGTCTCTTCGCTGACGGCAAGATTATCAAATTTCACATCTTTGCCCATTTAAAATAGATTAATCAATATTATTATTCTTTTATAGATTATTATTGCATATATTCAGTTTAAATGCAGAAAGAACCACTAAAATAACTTCAGAGGGAAATTAATTACAAATTTCCATTTCAGTTTCAAATTATGTGCCTATGCATACATTGTAGTGTAGGGAAGGTTACTGAATAGAATAATCAAACGAAGGTTGGTAATGAACGATAATACTTAGGACAAGAACAACACATATAAGATTCGCCAGCGGCGTGTAGAAGTAGTAGTCAACTGCTAGAAGTGAGTCAAGTAAATTCCACAATGAATCTCCAACTGCAGGATATACATCAACCACCCCTCGCGGTCAGATGTGGCACAAGGCCGAATATTCCGCGTAGACCCCGTATAAAACGCTGTCGGGTAGCTGTCACCCGATACAAGACCCTGTTCTTCGATATACCCACGTCTGTGGATTGTCTCTGCCCGGAGGCGGATTGTTTGAGCAGCTTGAGACGAATCTCTGACCGCAGAACAAGATACAGTATTTACTACAGTATATATGTGAATGGGTAAATACACATTATCGTCCGTAGGCATGCTACAACAGTGTATGTTTCGTCACTTAACAAGACATTTTCAAATTTTGGACGAGTCAGGTGCATTCTTTCACAATCTCCTTTGGAGCTATGTATGAATGAAGTAGACAGATAGACATGGGTGTAGAAACATTAGATAGGCAGGTAAGTGGAGATGTATATATAAAATACTGTGGGACTGGCCAACTTCCTGCCAAAGAATTTCGGCTAAAGCCCGCGAGATGACATGTCTAAGCAGAGTATATAAAGAAAAAGGAATGTCTCATATTCTTCTCTCTTTTAACTACAGGGTGCCTAAGAGACAAAGATATGTCTCTTTGCTCTCTGCGTAACTTTGCAGACCCCCATCGAATCTAATGTCACAGAGAAAGTAACATGCATATAACATTCTAAGTGTATTTGCCTATGCACATTATTATCTATTAGCTCTGCAAAACCAAAGAGCCCACTTCTCAAATGTTACTCTCTCTCTTTCTCTCTCTCTCTCTCTCTCTCTCTCTCTCTTTCTCTCTCTTTCTCTCTCTCTCTTTCTCTCTCTTTCTCTCTCTCTCTTTCTCTCTCCCTCTCATAGAAAATTTGAACTCACGTACGTATGTACGAAAAAGACATCTTTAGACACTCAATTTCATTAATAACTTTTTGTATTCCTTCTGATTACATGATACACTTTATATCATTCATATTCTCTTGCTTCAGAAGTCCCCAATGTCTCTAAAATCAATTAATATCCATATCAAATTATATAACAAAACTTTCCATTATGGTAATTCTACAATAATACAAACTAATTAGCATACTGGGTGACTGCTAAGTGATGTTTTCCATAAATTACTTTTTATCACCGATAAAGAAGTGTACCGAATAACAAAAACCTTAATAATTGATAAGTTTCAACAACAGCAATAATTAAGTAGATATGAATTTTCCGATGTATGAGGGTCAATCAGTTCAGTTCCTAGTAACCAACAGCCAGACATATGCTTTGATTATAATGGTGAAGGTTTTATGCAGAACCAACCACAGTTTTTGAAGGGCCGAATACAGAGACCTGGTGCACGTACCACAAGGTCCTCAAACGACCCTCTGCAAGTTTTGAATTCAGAGTTGTCTTTCTCCTAGACCAGTTGCCATCCAAGGCTATAGAACCCTGTTTTTCTTGCTATTTACCCATAGCTGGAGGGAGAATATTATTAGCACGTAAGTGAATGTAATGGTTTCGACAGGAATTTGAACTCGGCTCTCCGATTCCTCTATCATTTGATCCACTGTATCTCCTAAAGATAAAATATGTAAAACGACGAATAAATAATGATTTAATCAAGATGTTGACATTCCGCATCATTTAAAACAAAAGGTTACTAAGAAAAACGCAATCAGTATTGTAAAAAGCAATAGCAGTTATTAGACTTGAGAAACCTATCGACTTTATTTTTAAGAGAAACATTTTATGAAGTTCAACCAAAAGTAGCGCTGGTTTCTCGGTCAACGAATGCTGAATGTTTCTTTATAAAGAACCAATTAATATTATTATGACCATAAGCCAGTTTATAGCCTGTCCAGGCCCGACTAGTAGTAATGACGTGAACGATGGAGTGTATAAAATGGTTGAATTCATTCGAGAAAAATGAACCTTGTAATTTTATATGAAAAACTGACAATTGGAGTTGTTTTTCTGTACACGTTATTGTTCTTATATCTTCAGCCACAGCATTCAGCGTTAACACTGATGAATAAAAGAATAATTCATAGTTCGGCCTTCAATCTTGTGTTTAAAAAACAAAAAGCAGAATTGAGAAAAAAAATTAGACTTGTTACAAATTCTATTACGGGAATAAAAAAAATATTTAATCTTTTCATACGTTATTTTTTCGGGTATAATTTTAGTGACAGAATTTTTGACATGATATATTAGGTTCATTCATAAATGATTTCTCTTATGGTTTATCAAATTTATTGTTCAAAAAATAGAATACAATTGCAGTTTATTCAGTTCTATATTCACCGTTTTTTCCATTGACTTTTTACCACTTATCAGACAGCTCTTCCATATCCGTTTTGAGAAAAATTCTGCAGCTTTTGATGTGAAAATGTTTGCGACACACTCTTCAAGATGGTTTTCCCCGGAGAAGGTTCTCCACATCAAAGAATTTTGTAGCAGTCAAAGAAAAAGGGTTTAATAATCACAGTTAGTGCCGGGTCAGATGACACACAAATAACCTTTGGAAATGTTTGAATCCATCTCTTCTGCTCCCCAGCTATGGGTTAAATAGCAGGACAGACGGGGTTCTTTAGCTTTGGTTAGCAACCAGTCTGCCACAGAAAGAAATGGCAATCCACCGCGGGAAAAAGTATTCAGCCTCTTGTATATCACTTGTGGCACTTAACTGACTGAGTTATTAGTTTATAATGAATTTTTTAATTTACTATCGTTTTAATTTACATGAATATTCTTACATCCATACATTTATGTGTACAAACACAAAGCCTTAACGTCAGCTGGATTTGAAATTAGCCGATTCCGTGTAGATCTGTTTTACTCGTATACCGTCCCTGCTACTATTTCCTATGACATGCATATAGAAAATAGATTTCACAAATTGCCCAGTGATGTACATAGGCGAAACATCTAGAAATCTCTAAAAGGCGATATGATCATCTTAGGATATGCTGCATAGCAAAATTTTAACACACTGGTAGTTCAGCGTATCACATCTGACTACAGTTTCGACCTAATAAATGATGGTCTTCATCAGAAGAGAAAAGCTTTCACTGAGAAGAATAAAGTGCGGGCTGATCTTATAATTATCGGCGATAAATATCGGACCAAGTTTATGCAGAACATCATCGATCATCGCAAAAGCAATATCGATTTCTTTCCTAACCTTTTGTCATTTCCTCCTCGAGTTACATTTGCTATCCATTTCAGTTGTTGCTGTTGCTGAAAGTCCTCAAGTGATGGTGTTGTCTGTTATTTGTGATTCTGTAGCGCCTGTCCGCGTGGATTCACTCGCTTACAGACATTATTAACCATTGATATGAGAAATCGGTTGTATAGAGCTGACAGTTTAAATATCATTGAATATCTTTGTGCATGGCATCCATATGACTGCTTCATTCTGACGAGGCTATTTAAGAATATGGCCCGAGTTTTTAGGTTAATGTTTTGTAATAATTTGCGATGTTGGCAGAAACGATCTTGCCTATTCTATGTTCAATTTCTTTAACTCCTACTAGCAGCATGGCCCGGCGTTGCCCGTGCTTGATTCAAAAATCGTACGACACATACAGCAATCGCTATCACTTGACTTAAAATATTTTTGCCATTCCTTGCCTTTAAAGGAGTGCCCTTTGACGTGCTGATGTTGCTACATGCCTTAATTCTTGCCTATCTCACATTGCGAATTTTTTCTAAGCTCTATACTAAACATTTAATCTCTTACGAAAAAAGAACTAAACAAAATGAACACAAAACGATCAGCTTTAAAAAAGGACTCGTAACTGAAAAAACCGAATGAAGAAAGAATGTTAATAACTAACACTTTTTCACACCCAACCCAGTTCTGCGGAATCAGAATCAACGTTGAGTTTAAGCAAGCGAATGAGCCAATTGGAATAAAGTGCCATGTAGATTTAAATTTTTCCCACTTGTGACGAATGCAGCTATCGATTTTTTTGCGTGGTAGCATGCTAGTTAACATTCGTGTCAGTCAGCTGTTGGCTCTCATGCTGGCCAGTAGAAAATGGCCGCAAACTACATGAAAACTGCCGTATAAGCATGAAAACATCGATTATTTCCACTATCGATGGGAGTTGGCAAATGCAAAGTCAGTCTTGGTCTTTCCACTAACTTGGAGCATATGCATGTAAATTTTGGTGCAAATCCGTCGAAAATTGCGGCCGTACATTCGTTACACACACACACACACACACACACACACACACACACATCCTGCCTTATATATATATATATATATATATTGTATTGAGCACATTGTAATTATTTTAGCTGTTGATAGGGAGAGCTTTACCTTTGATTGTGGCAGATGCTATTTTCAGTACCCTAATTATTTTATTAGATGCGTTTGTCAGTACCCTAATTATTTTATAGTCAATTTTTTGGGTGGGGTGGTATGCATTTCACCCCAAGCAAGTTAGGGCAGAGTCTCGTTCGGGGTGGTTGACTGCCCCTGAACCCGTTTATGCGGGTTCAAAGAGGGAATATAGACAGATATCAACTATTTTAATTTAGCCAATTCAACCAAATTATCCATAATTCGTTTAGCAGCTGAAGAAGCAGTCAAGGAAGACAGTAAAATCTATCTAAGAGAAGGAATTAGTCTAAATTAATAATTCAAAAATATATGTAATAAGTGAAACAAATTTAAACAGTTCATGGCTAAGCATTTAACACCTGAAGAATCGACTGATGTGAGTGGAAAAGGAAAAACTGATCAAAACTATTTATTATAATAAAATATCTCTTAATATAAAATAAAAAATACTTTCCGAGTTTTCAAAACTTTTTTGTACAGTCAGAATTCAATTACAATTCTATTGATGGAATTAATTTATAAGAAAAAAACGAAAAGGAAATTAACGTCGAACTTTGAATGACGTTGCAAATTATTGTATTATGGTTTAAATGAATTTTTCAAGTCATAACAAACGATCTCTGTCTAAGGCAAATGAGTTAAAAGATTAATATTAGTTCAACTATTAAAACAATTATCTTATTTAGAGAAAACCTCCTTCGATTGTAAGACTTGTAATTATATAAGGGAATTATTTAGGCCTCGTATAGTAAGCGACAAGATGGCGTAAAATGACGACTGAAAAAATAATCCTTCGCAGTCGGAAAAGCTAAACGTGCGTGCACAACCCTAAAAATCTGTAAGTGTTCCTAGAGAGAATTTAGTCAACCAAAGACAAGTATTTGCTTCATAGAATTTTGCTATCGGATACAAAGGCGTGGGTTAGAAACTAGAGTCTTTAAGAAAGGCAGGAATTGGAACTTGATGCTATAACCACAATCGTGCAAAACTTACATTTGTCGTTTTTGTTTTACTCTCAGAGAATCAACAAGATTTGACGGAAATTGGTTTCTCTTATCTGACGTAATCTTATCGATTTTGGAAAGGTGGGGAAATAAGATTGGCTTTATACAGCTGCTACTGAAAATGATTGTTTATTGTATAAAACACTGACTGAATAGACAAAGATATGTCAACAATTCTGTAGCTTGACACTGAATATTTATTTGTAATTTTTGAGTCTGTCTAAGATTTACAAATTATTTAAGTACATTGAAAAGAAGGAGATTATGTTGACAGATATTTGTTGTGTAAATGCTTTGATCAGGATTAAGACGAATTAGTTATGCACTTATATGAATCTATACATACATAGAATGCAGAATTGAAAGTTTGAAGAATATGACAAATGGAAAACGGTTTCATTGGAACTAGACGACGTGTTTCAAAAACAAAAGAAAGAACTACGTGTGTTTGTGTTTGTGTGAATGCTTGAATAATAAATTGTTAGAACTGTTTCCTCAAATGAAACAGTTTTCCG